GACAAACCAAACACTGGCTATATAGAGAAATTTTTACATTAACTGAAGGTTATGTGGTTGCAATCTGCAACCTCATCACTAGATGCCACAAATTCCTACACATTGTTCCTCTAATGGACTACACACACACACACACACACACACACACACACACACACACACAAAAAAAGAATAAAAAAGCTAAAAGATAGAGATTTATGTTAATATATTCATTTCTCATTAGTCGTGCCAATTGAATTGTATCACTTCATATGAGTTACACACACACACACACACACACACACACACACACACACACACACACACACACAAACCAAAGTTAATTCTGATGGTCTGAATTTGACACAGGTTGTGATGAACTGTGCTGGAGACTCTGAGTGGGTGGTGTTGTGTGGGCGGCTGTTGATTTCCAAGTGTACAAAGCATCGTCTCAACTTTCCCTCCACAGTATGAAGAAGAGTTCACATGGAGTGATACAGCTCCTCTGGACTTTGACACTAAACCACACAGAAAATATCTCACATTACATTGATTGGAGTCGTCTGAACAACTTGCACATTCCCATGATGTCCTGTAGCTGTTTTATATGAGCAACAACATGAACAAGGACAGTTCAGCTGCTTCTTGTGAGAATCATGTGATGTACTTTATACGTGTGTGTATACATATCCCCAGTGTCTGCGATTCAAGGTTGAAATATGTCAGTTGTGTTTACTTCTTATTTTTCCTTTTGCTGCATTGGTGTCACTAGCACTGAAGGACAGTGGTGCGGTTGATGATACTTTCAAATGTTTGGGGAAACACTCTGAGTTTCAACCTTGCTGACTTCATTTTGGTTAACATTACAGCCTTTTCGCATGGCAGGAGTGCAGCTCAAGAACAAGGACAACATTCACACTTTATTCAGTAACTGAGGAGGGAAAAATGGTGGAAGACGTCCTGAAATCCAAGTGGAAATGACTCCATTATAAGGATGTGAAAGTTCTCAGTCATCTCAAACGCCATCAACCAGGATTGACGGCCGTACTGCTGTCAGAGAGTTATTAGAAGTCAAATCTTATAATAAATTAATAGTAAAATTGAGTTTAAATAATATAGTATAATATTTAAATAAAAATTTCAACAGTAGAAGAAGTGATGATGGAGTTTAAACTACATCCAGGACTCATACAGCCACTGTAGGATTTTACTGCTTTCAGATCAGTTGAGGAATCACATTCCCCTCTGCTGGTTGAAAAACCACACAGTATCTTTAGTAGCTTGAACTTTAGCAACTTTATCGTGACCCGAGGAAAACCAGGAGCTCGTTGCACAAAACACCTTAAGTTTTCTTAAGTTTGATACTTAAGGTTGATTTCTTCCTTAGCTGAGGGAGTTGCACAGACTCTTGCACAAGACCTTTTTTTTTGGTATTGGGGCTTGTGATGCAGATTGTCATCTCACCTGTTATCGTCTCTGAAAGTTGGACTGCAGAAGAAAAAATGGCCGAAGAAGGCAAGAAAAAATGACGGTCAGACAAATCATAAATTGTCTGAGAATCTAACTCTATCTTCGTGGGACGTGTTCATTCTCTTCATTTATCACCATAAACTCAGTCATGTTGCGGTTAACATACAATCAGAGGTACTTTTAGTTTTTTCCTTAGTTTGGTTGCTAAGGTCTTCTGTGCAACAGCTTAACTGATGCTCAGTGTTTCCTTAGGTATGAGAAAACATGAGGGGAAAAACTTTAAATACTTAAGTGAACATTTTATGGAAACCTTAAGGGAGAAGAGTTAAGGGTGTTTTGTGAAACTGTTTTTATTTTAATAAATTTCAACTTGGACTTTAAGGAAAATCTTAACTTAAGGTGTTTTGTGCAACTGGCCCCAGGGCTTTTTTCTAAACAGTTAACATTTTTGCTCATTGACAAATTTAATAAGAGGAATAGTTTGACATTATGTGAAATTCACTTATTCACTTTCTTGAATAGAGTTAGGTATGACTGATACCACTCTCATGTCTGTACATCCAATACAAAGCTTAGTTTAGCTTAGCATTAAGACTGGATACAGACAAAGAGGTAAGGTAATAAAGAGGGAAATTTGCCATAGCCAAAGCCTAATTAACTTTTGTTCCCTGACACAAACTTAAACAAGTCTACCTATGGTTTTCTCCTTTGTAGTCCAACAACTGCTCAGCTTCACACTCATCTCATTATTTCCTTTGCTGTTCCCAGTGGTTGAAGTGTCAGAAAATCTCTTTAATAAATCATCCGAGCTACAAATGACGTGGAGGAGATCAGTGATGAGACTGCAGGAGAACAAGCAGCTCCGAGAGTGACATGAGCAGAAAATGGTGGTTTATTAAAAAAATTTTAAAAAATCCACAGCCACTTTCCAAAGTTTTGTTTACTCATGTCTGACTCACAGGTGTAATGATTCTGAGATGATGCTGTTTCGGCTGCGTGGTGGCTCACTGCCCGATGCTAACAGGACTGACCTTTGCAAGAGCAGCAATAAGCAGCAATAAGAGCAGCAATAATAACTGAGGCACAGTTGGACTTTTCTTTAAACAGGAAAACCTCAGATCTTGGTCACACTGATTTAATATGTACATTTTGTACAATTATCAGCCACAAATGATTGTGTTTTCAAGATTTAAGTGGATCAGGTCTAAATCAGGTCCATCAGCAGCAACTGTTTGTTTGAGAAACATTAGTATGAGTCTACATTCATGCTAGCAGCTTGGTGAGGCTTACATGCCCACACAGACATTGCTAACATGCTTATGTTGGCGATGTCACCACAATGTTTACAATCTTTGTTTCAGAAAGATGGTTATGAAACTGTTGCAAACTCAGGAACCCCAGCACACGAGATACAGATTTCACTGCATCAAATGAATCATCAGATGTATTGTCCACGAGTGTGAGTCTCTACAGGAACACATGAAAGACGCTGCTGCCTCACATCTTCAAAGAGCCAGAATCATTTGTTTATTCTTACATCTCTCTGTCTTTACAGTTCTCTCTTGAGGATGGTGGGAAGGTGACAGCTAGAGGTCAGCCTTCAGCTCTTATTTTCTTCTGCAGCGAACGGGAGATGCCTGAAATGCAGCACACAAAACACTGACAGTGTTTAAGGTAATAATCCAAAAAGTGTTTGTTTAAATGGATTCTTTCAGTTATGCATTAGCCATTTCAAACACCCCATGACTGCTACTGTAGTTTACTGATTTTCTTGAAAAAAAGAATAGAAGAAAAACTGGTGTAATTAGCTTTACAACCATAGCTTGGGGGGGGGGGTGAAAACAGGAAAAATAACATAATTAAGGAAAAATAAATTCATTAACATGAGAAGTCCAATTTGGAATTTGTTACAGTACCAATTGTTGTAATTGACATTCGATCTTTGGGAATGCAGGAGGTACGGTGTCAGAGCACCAATCATATATCGAAAAACAATCTTTAAAGCTGCACTGAATGACATTTTTACATTAACTATGAAACAGGTGTGTACAGATGTGATACGCAACTGTTTGATAACCGGTCCATCACACTATTTTTGCAAAACTAAAACACTCTATCTCAGTATTGTGTTAACTACTTGTTATACTGCCCCCTAGTGGCCAAAGGTCAGTGAAAAAGAGTTTTAAAGAAAACTTTTCCTGTTTTTCAGCTGAGAATTTTATAATTTATAACTATGCAAGGCAAAGTCCAACCAATTCATTTTTGTCAAAGTCATCACTCTGCTGCTGATGCTTCTCTCTGAGCTTAAACAGTTAAATGGGGAAATTATTAAAGTCTTCATAAAACATGTTAAAGTCTTGACTGGTCTTGACTTATGAATAGATCCAGAAGGTTTTATAGAAACTTTCTGTCACAACTTGAAAACATCATCAGTAAAACCGAGAGGAAATCATGCAATTTCTTACTTACTTATTTTACTGCAATCAATAAGAATGTCAGAAATCCCCTGCACACCAGTATAATGTAGCCTGGTGCTGGTCAAACACATGCAGTACTAAAATACTGTGGACTGGATCTAATTATACTATAAAGTGTTTCTGGAGTGTGGCATTTATTCATATTAGATTTAGAGCTGAATTCAACTAATATGATTATTCCTTTAAGCAAAACAGCCAAAAATACCCCAGTTCAAGTTGGCAGTTGTGGAATTAGCTGCCTTTCCTCTGTTTTATATCATTATAAATGCAATCTTTGTGGGTTTTGGACAGATAAAAGAAGATATCTGAAGATGCCACTCTTAGCTTTAGGAATCTTTGATGGGCATTTTTTTTCACAATTATCTGATCATTTATGCACCAAATAAGTGATGCTTAATCCGTAATGGAAATAATCATTATTTGCAGCTGTTTTTGAAAGCTTAAACAAGTGCTCCATTCAACTGTGTTTAACCTTACACCCTGTCTAATGGATTGTGAGTCTGCAGCTGAGTCCGGCATGAAACTAAATCAATGTCTAGGTTAAGAAATTAGCCCACCTACGCTTTATTCCTATGGTTTCAACTCTCTACGCTGATGTCATGACATGTCAGTGTCCAGATCAAGTGATTTAAGGTAAGAAATTCATCTTGGATTCAAATAAAGTTGGGATTCAAACACATAAAGCCCTTCAGGTGAACTACAGGTGTGATTTGTTAGAGAGTGATGGTGAAACTGGAGGTAATTCCTTGACAGGTATAACTTCATGATGAAAAGGAACGTAGCTTCGCTTTGATCCTTGATGTAAAGAACATTTTCGATAGACACTGACAGAGAACATCTTCATACACTTTGAGAGAGAGGAGCTTTCAGAGCGGCTTGTCAGTGACTCTTTATCTCTGTGTCTTTATGTTTGATGTTTTTAAACCCTTTAAACCTCATAACTGGGTTCAGGCAGGAGACTGTAGGACTGAACACATTTATTAGAAGAACATCTTAAAAAAAAAAAAAAAGAAAAAGAAAAAACACAAACTAGTGCTACATTAGCCTTGAAGATAAAGAGAAACCAAAACAAATTTTCATTGTGGCTACTTTCAAAAGAGCTAAAAAAAAAAAAAGATTTCTTCACTGAACATCTACTATTCAGCTTATTAAAATACCAAAGGAATGAAGTCAAAAGGATGACTCAACTAAAACATTTTACTAACACACAAACATGTCGCAGCTGATGTAGAAAAAAATCAAAGAAATTGGCTTCTGTTTTAAATTGTCTACATTGAAACTTTTATGCATTTAGAGTTCATAGTGCAACAAATCAATCAAATTCAGCCATCTTGTCTATTTCTACATCACTTGAAAGTCTGCACAGTTTTCTTTTAACACCCCACAAAAGAGCACTAACAAGCAGTTAGTTGTGTTTTCATTTTCAAACTTGTGTATGGCACGGTTGTCATAGCTTCGTCAAGTGAGTTTATCCAGTGAGGCACCAGCATGGTCATAGTAAAAGTTTTGTTTCGTTGGCCACATGGTTCAACAAGAGCAGTATGAATTCTCCAAATATCTTCACACACATATTGTGTCGCTCTTGTTGGCCACATTTATACCTGAGTAGGTATCAACAACAAGGGATGTTTATGACTTTAATAGAACTCAAATCTTTCCAATCATCTAATTACAAAAACACAAAAACAACAGTTTTTCTTTCTCCCTCTGAGTCCCTGAATGTGTTGGCATCTCCACAGTTGCTGTTCATCACAGATCAGCACCAGGAAAACGACCTGCCCACCATTTCAAAGAACAACTCGTTGGGCTTCCTGAAGTACCGGCACAGCTTCTTAAAGGCCTGGCTGCTCAGGGGCGCATGTGGCCTGCCTTTAGACTCGTCCAGGCACTTGTCATGTCCGGCAGACAGGAGGCAGTAGAAGCCCTTGGTGGTGTTGTAGTAGAAGTTGTTGGGGCTGATCCTGGGTGGTAAGTCCAGAAACCTCTCTGCCTTTCTCAGCTCAGGGAAGGGATCCCGGATGAGTGCATCGCCATCCACTACGTGGATCTGCTCCCGAGGGAAGACCTCCAGCCAGTGGGCCAAATGCTGGTAGTACAGGCTTCTCTGCAGCGCCTTGTACCCAGTGTCGATGTGGCCCTTGTTGAGCAGGAGCTCCTCTAACGTTTGGTAGGGCTTATGGCGGGTCAGGCGGTTGTGGAGGACCTGGGTGTAGTCGGAGACCAGTCGTTCAGCTGGGTCCCGGACAATTAGTAACAAGCGGACGGCAGGATTCATGTCCCAGACACGTTCAGGAACCTGAGGAGCTGCAAAGTAGCCAGGGGTCTTCTCCACTGTCAGCTGACCAGGGAGGGTGAAGGGCATCTGGGCTCGGTACCAGGCCAGGCCTCGGTGGTAGTGCTCCTCCATGTTGAAGTAGTGCACCTTACAGAAGGAAAGAATGTAGGTCAGTATTAAAGACGATGAAGAAAAAGTTTGTGTTAATTTTCATGTCACTTCTCACTGCAGTGGTTTTTAAAACCTTACTTTATTAGTATTTTAGTTTTTTTTTTTTTTTTTTTTTTTTACCATCTAAAAGACATTCAGCTCTTTCCGTCTGACCCCATCTTGTCCAAACCAATCTAGAGTATTCCTTTGAGTTTTCCAACTTTGCCGTCTTCACCTCAAACTACCCTGATTAGGATTTCTCTCTGTTCAACTTCTTTGGGACAGGCCTGTCATCATTCATAACCACGTACTGTAACTACATGACAAACTGTATATAGGTTGAGCTGACTTTGTTCTGATTTTGTCTGTACCTCTCCGCTTTGATGGAGAAATAATATTACACAGTTTACTTGTCTACTCTGCTGAAATTGCTGTCATTTGTACCTGGTAGGAAACAGCAGGTTTATCTGGTGAAATAAGAAGGTAACTACAGTGCATCAGTGCCCCGAATAACTAGATCAGTGAAGCTGATTTATCTCTCAACAAAGTGCTATTATATTAACACTGAATCAGTTCAGGCACAGCGCTGAAGGTAGACTTGCATTGGCTATTTGTATTTCATTCACAATTCAGGATCAGTGGGTCATTGATACATCAGCTGATTGCCTACCAGCTGACTCTTAAATCCAGTTACTGATGTATTCATACAAATGTAAAGGGTGGCCTTTATAACTGCTGCTGCTGACCTCCCTGTAACTGATCCATTGCATAGAAACACTCCCGGATGATTCCAGAGAAAAGCTCAGCTGAGGAGCTGTGTGTGTTAACCAGACTTCTGGTTCACTTCTCCCGTGAAAGTTTTTTTATTTGTGTTTTTTGTTAGACGACTGAAATAAGGCCTGTGGTTAACACAAGCTCTAGAGATATTAACGTTTAACGTTAAAATACCCCAGTCAACGCTAACCTTTACTGCCTCGATGTGTTCATACTCGCACTTTGAAAATTATTACTAACTTTGTAAGAGGAAGCTTTTGTAGACGAGGTCAGAGCTCAGTCAAACTACATGTTGGAAGTTTAGTGGTGGTGATGTTGAAGTCATGCAACGGTGGTGCAGTTCGTTTATTAGCATTTTACCCCAGGTGACTGTATTTCGGCGTCAAAAATCATAAATGTGGTGTTCATTTGTGAAGATTATCGTGCTGAACAAAACGTGAGTGTCATAAACATTTGTTTTTCAAAAAGATTATTTTCTGCAGTAATACCAAAGCCAATGTAAAAATCCCATTAGCTTTTTGTTGAGGGAACCAGGGTGACTCTAACATTCGGGTTTGCCTTCGAAAATATGCCATCCCTGCGCCACTCTATGTAGTTAGTCTTCGTCCTTAAAGGCCTTCAAGTGTCTTTTTGGTGGAGTTGCTAACATCTCGCAGCCATCTAAAATTGGAGACCATTTTTTTTGTAATGACTCACAAGCCAAAAAAGGTAGAGAGCCACAGGATTCATCTGTATTTAAATTAAATGATAATTTGTCTTAAATGTAAAATCTTACTCTGAAAGCTAACTAATAACTGTAGCTGTCATATAAATGTATTGGAGCAGAAGATGGAAATGCTCAAGTAAAGTCCTGGGAAAATTGCACTAAAATAAAATACTTTAATAAATCTACTCAGTTACTTTCCCCTAATGGTGATTAGACAGTTAGGTAGCAGTGACGGGGTTTTACCTCAGCCTTTGCAACCTCCACATCTGGGTGCAGGTTGAGCATCTCCAGCAGGGCTCTGGTGCCGCCTTTCCGCACGCCAATAATAATGGCTCCGGGTAGCCGCTGCTGGGTGGCATTGTAAGAGGAGGAGGAAGACGATGATGAAGAGGAGTAAGCAGGGGAGCTGGAACCCCCTGTGCGTAATTCCCTTAAGCACAGAGACAGCTGAGTCTGCAGCAGCAGAAGCACCAGCAGCGCTAGTAGCACCGTCCACAGCATGGTGCCCCACACACACACACACAGCGGTGGAGTGGAGGTTATGTGCACACACTCATGAAGCTCCCAGATTTGCACTGAGTTGTGCTTGTTATCAGTCAGCAGGGGGCCTCAGGAGGGAGCTCTTCAATTTGACAACCTATGAGCCAGGAAAAAAAAATAAAGGTTATTTCTCACTTTGCTGTCTCACTCCCACTCTTTCTTCTTTAATACTGGAAAACTGACACATTTGGCAAAAAGTGCTGCTGATAAAGCAAGCAATATTTAATGTAAATCAAAAATAACATTTGATAGTTAGTTTATTCCAGCGCATTAACACATTTCAGGACCGATAGAGAGTGTAGCTCTTAAAGTGAAGAAGCCACAGTGTCAAATCATAAAAATCAGCAACAAACAAAAGAATCTTCTTCCTGCAACCATCATTGTAAGTTATTTGTTTATATGTGTATTTCATTTGACATTCATTAGCTAATCTTCCTGAGACCTGCACATTAAAAACAAGGTCCAAAAGAAACAAATTGAAAATAGATAAAACAAAACACGCTGTTCTTAATACAACACAACCAAATAAACAACAATGCAAAAAACTACCAATAATATCAATAAATGGTTCTCATTACCACATATAATATAAAGAATGAGTGTGCAAAGCAAGCACAAACATGCAAAGCTAATACTAATACAACATTTAAGAACATAAACATTCAAAAAATTAATGAAAACTAAGATATCAGTTGAAAAAAATGTATCTGAATTAGTTTCATTCAATGTGATGTGACTTTTTTCATTCTTTAATACTGTTTGGGAACTTGTTCCATCCCACAGAAACCCTGTACATACAGTACATGCCACTGTAACAGAGTAAACAGAGCTGCTGTGAAAACAAGCAGACTCGAGTGTAATCTTGCTTCAACTGTCTGTTTGTTATGCATATCAGTAATACTAGTGCTGTATCAATGGTTTATGATAATCATTAACAGATGACAGACTGTGTGAACTTCCAACTGATCCAATAATAACATTAGGTACAAACAATATTTTATTTACGATACAACCCTGTCACCTCAAGACAGGGTTGCTTGAGATTTTCAAAGCACATCTGCATCTCTGTAGGTGAAAGATTCAAATACACTAACAGATGTTTGAAAATCCAACATCATCGAACCGTCTTCACGAAAACAACAAAAAAAAATCTGAAATGTTTCCTGTTAGCAGGGGAGCCAGAGTCAGCAACAGTCAGATGAAAAGAGTGCCGCCACGTAGCATTTCTTTTCATCTCATAGCATAGCAGTTGCTCTGTGCACGCATGCTTGCTCTACTATTTCACGATCCCATATGTCTTGAGATGGTTCTGCACTCTTACATGCCATTTTACAAAGTCTCTGCCCGAGCAGTTTTAGTTTCAGCCCAGGATATTGAGCTATGAAGCAATTACGGCCAGAAGATATTCAAATATGAATCTACGTCTGAAGCAGACAGAGAGGACATGCATTGAAAATTAATGCTGTTATGAGGTTTACGGTCTCCCCAAGGAGCACTAACCCCAACCCACCCCACCCTCCCCATGAGTTCAGCCGAACCACTTTTACAGTATATAAGACAAGGTGCAGTGAATACTAGAAAGTCGTGAGTGCTGCAATACGTCTCCTGGTGTTGGGTTTAATGTGTATGTGGGTGATGTTTCAGAGCGTTTCTTCAAGTGTTAAGAACACACATTTTCACAGATGCATTAGAGAAGTCAACTGATCTTACATCCAAGATGGTTTTGTTTTAGCAGAGCGTCAGATATCATCTTATCTGCTGCAAGAACAAACAAATCTGTGAGCAGCCACACATGATCAGCCATCATCATCTCTCTGTGCATGTTTGGGCCACAAATACTGTATATTTATTCAAAGGCAGTGAATAGTGAAATACTCTCTTCTTCTTAAGCAATGTCTTGCCCTTTAGCAAGGCACTTAGACCCCCATGTGTTTGAACACAAAAGATCAGCTGCTTAACCACAGAGAAGATTGTGAGCTCCCTGGGGTGAGTGTGTGTTTGGGTGTTGACAGAGCTTGTTTTTACATAAGCTGGAAGAGTCCCATATTATACGATGGACAAGCTTTGAAGAGTGACACCTAAAGACACGTATAAATATGATCACTGAAGACTAACCAGGGACAAAATCTCTGAGTTGACAACAAGTGGAGCTTAGTTAAAGGTCCTGTATCGAATAAATTTAGATTTCCATGTCTTGGTTGATTATAGATCAGGTCTAGGTTCTATATTAATACTGTGAAAGTATCAAAGCGCTCAGTCCACACAGAAATGCACACAGCCTGTATTCAGAAACTGAGCCCTAAAACAAGCCGTCAGGACTTATGTGACTTTGTGATGTCAAAACAAAGCAGTCACCGCTCTCAGTAATGCCACAAGCCCCGCCCACCCAGACCCACCATTCAACATTGCAGGATTTGGTCCTGAAATCTGCTATATTTTTATTCAATCACTCAGAAAACGGTCAGCCGACCTGTTGTTGCTCGAACTCCAGAGAGAAGCCTGAAAGAGGAGATGTAAAACTGCGCTGAGATGGTTTTTGGTTCTTAAAACCACAAATATATCTTCTTATGAATATCAACACTTCAAATAAAACACCAGAAAAGTGTAAAATGTGGGACCTTTAAAGGAGTAGTTCTACATATTGGGAATTACACTACATTACTTTTCTAACAGAGAATTAGATTCGACACCCCTCTCATTTTTATGGTAATTATGAATCTAGAGCCAGGAGACGGCAAGGTTAGCTTAGCTTAGCACAAAGAATGGATACAAAGGGAAACAGCTAGCCTGACTGTCTGAAGGGTGAAAAAAAATTCTGCCATCCAGCACCTCAAAGCCTCATCAGTTAACACGTATCTTGTTTGGCTGATCAAAAATCAAGTGTAAAAATTTGTAGCCAGGTTTTGTGGTGTGTGTATATGTGTATACATATATATACATATATATATATACAGATTGAGCCTCGGAGTGCTGCTTTTCCTCATCCTTCCTGGTGCTACAAGTGGTGGTTGCTAAGCTTTTCTTGCACTCCCTCCACAAGAACAGATATATTTTTCCTCTTTATTTTGCTGTGCGGTGTACAGTATGTGTGTCTGGGGCACTGGAGCGTGTCGAGGTACTCTGCCCCAGTTCAGCCTGTTGCTGCTGCAGCCCACAATCCCCTAGCACTCCCCTCCATTTATAATAGATCAAATATTTTTAAATTGCAGGTTTTTATCAAATTAGCTGAATAAATTACCCATTGGTTTCTCGTTTTACTTAGTTGTTTAAATTTGAATTGGTTAATCAATTAAAACATTTTGCATTCTGCCCATTTACTGTCATCTGTGTCATTGCAAGGGATCTGCCCCTTCTTCCCAACACAAACCCACCACAGCCCCAAGGCATCTATTAATATTCTCCTTCGGGTTCATTATTCTTCCGCCAAATTTTGGCACGTATTTCGTCCCACAGCTTTGAGAAAACCCCGGTAATATATACATCAAAACGTGCGTCTTGATCCCGAAAGAGGTGCTCTGACTTTTGGTGTTAAAATTCCAATTTTTCCCAAAGTTATTCCCAAAAAACTGTGAATAAATAATGCATTAGGAATGCATTGGAATTTTCTTTAGAAACCCACAAAATTTCACCTTTTTTCTACAAAATTTCACCTTTTTTCTGAGTCACCCAGCTCTCTCATACCTGCACGTAGAAATGTGATTCAAACTATAAAACGGAGGAAAACTTCTGCCCTCTCAAAAAGACAGGAACCCTTTAAATGCCAGCTTGAAGACATGTTGCCTCTTATATTTAAAAAAAACAACACAGAATATGAGATATTTCCCACATAATACATGATGTGTATGTGACATTGTTTTATATCAGCATCTTTTATATCAAGACATTTCTCAAAACCAGAATATGATCAGGGCGAGTTTTGAACACTGGAAATAAATCATGTACTCATCCCGGCAGTAGCCCCCGTGGCACTCAAAATTTCCCTGGAATTTTGTAGTTGTAACTTTATTTTCATTTTCGCTTGAATTTCCTTTCGACGCTCAAGATTACTTAAAAAAAAACATTATTTGGGCAAAATCTTAAATCTACATTTAGTATTAATTTGTTTGATTACGTCAAGTGTTTAATACGAATGTTCTTTAGCAGTAAGTGTTATCCGACATTTCTCACGTATGTCCAGAAGGGGGCAGTGACTCGCCGAGCAAACTACTACAGAAAGAGGTGAAGAAGAGGGAAGAGACATCCTGCTTCCTGGTCCAGAGCACTGACTGTATAAAAGAAAGGACGTCAACTCCGAGTCTGGAGAACGAAGCCGATGCAGAAGTTCGTTAAACTTGCTTTCTCTCGAATGACCATCATGGTGACTCCACTGGTTGCAAAAAGAAGTCCGATTATATTTAAGTCTATGGGAAAATGACACGAGTACCCGGCCCGGAGGGACACAGGGGCCCCGCCCTGGAGCCAGGCCTGGGGTTGGGGCCCGTGGATGAGCGCCTGGTGGCCGGGCCTTAGCCCATGGGGCCCGGCCGGGCCCAGCCCGAACCGGCTACATGGGTTCGTCTCCCAGTGGGCTCACCACCTGCAGGAAGAATCAGAGGGATCCCCCGTACCCGCTGGTGGACACCGGCGGTGGGGGAAGCCGTCAGGCTGAAGAAGGAGGCCTACAGGGCGTGGTTGGCCTGTGGGTCTCAGGAATCAGCTGACTGGTACCGGCGGGCCAAGCGGAGTGCAGCTGCGGCAGTTGCTGAGGCAAAAACTCGGACATGGGAGGAGTTCGGTGAGACAATGGAGGAAGACTATCGATCGGCTCCAAAAAGGTTCTGGCAAACCGTCCGACGCCTCAGGGGGGGAAGGCGGCAACTCGCTCACACTGTTTACAGTGGGGGCAGGGAGCTGCTGACGTCAACTGAGGATATAGTAGGACGGTGGAAGGAATACTTTGAGGAGCTCCTCAATCCCACCAACACGTATTCCATAGAGGAAACAGAGCCAAGAGACCTGGGGATGGATGATCTAATCTCCGGGGCAGAAGTCGCCGACGTAGTGAAACAACTGCGCGGTGGC